CTGGTGTCCACTTGTCTTTCGCTCTGTCCTTGCACTTGCCAAACCTATTCTTGTTTTTTTTTTTTTTTTTTTTTTTTAAATTTTAAGAATACAACGAAAGATTAAGAAGAATCAACTTGGCAATACTCTGCGCGACATCCTACCTACCGCGTGTAACGCGCGTTTCTTTACGTTTTTAGGTTTAGGTTAGGTCTTCTCTGAAAAAGGATGCAACGATAACTTCAAAAAATGAAAAATCGAGAAAGGTTAACAGAGGATATACATATACAGACAGCGTGGACCAAAATTCTGATGAATACGTTCGAAGAGAATGCTCGGGGTACCAACTCCAACTTGTCGCAAGATACGCATGGTTGATACATTGAATTTCAATATCCGGTTGACAGATGAACGGTATTCACTCGGGGAAATTCTGTGAAATATACCCCCAACGAGGATAGTTCTGGCTAGAGCGAGTATTTGGCATTTCGCCAACGCGTCGATTGGACACGTGCAATGTATAGAGGGCTCAAAAACTCTCAATTTTCCTTAAAATACACTTCTATTTTAGCAACGCGAAATCATCATTGATAACGTTGCAATTCAATTTGCGTACTTGCCATTATTACCTGTGCACGACAATATATTGCCGTAATTCGCAAATTCTTGCGAAAGAGCATCGGTCTACCTTTGGTACTATTTTTAAGAATCTCTCTCTCTCTCTCTCTCTCACACACATACAAAACTGCACCGACATCATATCGAGATGTATCGTCCCTTTTTGCTCCGCTCGCGCATCTTTTTCTCACCTCCGTCACCTATTATCGCAATTATCTCCGAGAGTCGGGGGCTAGAGACTAGAGTTGTAGAAAAAAAGAAAAGAAAAGAAAAGAAAAAAAGGAATCTTTCACTCGCTCGTTTCGCAATGCGACGCAACGACAATCTCGAGCAACTCGGTAAATTTCAATTTCTAAGATAACGATGATACTGCGTGAGAACGGAAACTCCTGTTATCGTTACGAATGCAGCTGCGTATTAAATACACGCTTGCCAGACGATTTTCTCCTCAAAAACTTCAACCTAACTTAACTCGAACCGAATCTCGAACGATGCGCGCACACGTCAATCTTTTTAAGGATCCTTCGGTCGTTGCCAAACGATTTTATCCGTTTATCGTTATCGATCCCTATCGATAAAATTGCACGTTAGAATTTTCGTACGTTATTGCCTGGCGGATCTGACGAAAGCAAAGTTACGTACATTATAAAAGAGGAAACTTTGCAGGATTACTCGGACCGCAGTCTAATTCAACTGCCATGTAAACTGATTTTCTAAGCATTTCCAATCAATTTTATGGTTAACAGTATCGACAAAGCGTCGACATATCGTCGGCACACGCATGGCATCCACACACTCGCAAAACAGGAGCACGACGAGCATCGATGATTCGACGATATTCGAATCGACGATGCGTATCCCATGTGAAATTAGTGTTTACCATTAATTAACCTAGCCTCCGCTAGATCTTTTGCCAGACTAACGAAATTACATTTAGGAAAGATTCTCGTACGTGTTCCGAACGCACGTGCAACATACTCGACGACAGCATTGTTCGACGAACGATTATACTCTTTTTTACCCAAAATTAAACTAGCTGTTTACGTAATCCACATTGACATAGAAATAACGAATAGAAATATTTACCTGCACGTTGGGAATCGTTTCAACGATAAATAATAGCACGCATGTGCTCGATCCACGATGGTTAGCTTTACGTGGAAATTATAACGTTGTACCGCTGTATTCGCTCGACGCTTCGATTTCGTCAACCGCAAATAACCGTCCTTTGAGAACCGAGTGTGTTCTCATACGGAGTGCACGTTAATAGACGTAAATCAGTCTACATCAATATTTCCTCCCGAGTGTGTTCACCATTAAAACGGTTTTCCACTTGACGCTTTCGGTGGTCGATAAACACAAGTGTATCGACGTGACACACGAAAAAATGCACGAGCTTGACTGAGACTCTGTTACTCTGTTACTCTGTTTTTCAAAGGACCTGCTGCTATCGTACCGTTCTCGAATTCAATCGAGACGCAAGCACAACAACAACTACGCACGATACGGTCGAATCGACTAACGCGATTTCTTCGAGTTTAGTTTCCCCAGACCATATTCCACGGATCAACGGAGGAGACGTTTCCTTCCACCTGACGCGACTATGCCGCCTCTCTCGGCAAATTTCCAGTCAATGTCAGCTAAATTGTAACGTGCGTCGGTATGCGTTCGCTGGTCGCGTGGCCTTTTTCGCGATGATGTCGCAGCAACTGGACACGAACGAACGGAAACACGTTCCGAGTGGTATCTAAAATATATCCCTAGCATGTATCTAAAATATACCTCTCCTGTGCACAAAGTGAAACCGACTCGCTAGTTTCAGCTTGGCGCGAGACACAGAAATAGAATGGCCGAGGATTGGAAACATTGTACGAATACAGACCAGTAGAACGTCGATTGTCCAAACTAATCAATTCAGACGAAACAAGCGATCTTACGAGGGATCAAATTTGCGATCGTGTTGCAAATACGTTCCAAGCACGAGTGGTGTTTATTACGTAAAAGAATACATACGTAACAGGTGCTGTAAGATTTCCAGTGTCTCTTCGCCTATGCGTATGCAACTTGAGAGCTATCTCTTGCGATTGATGCAAGATCCATTTCTACATACGCAGATTTTTATTATCATCGCATTTGCTATCTTCAAGCTTCTCCCCACAGATGAAAATCTCTTACCGTCCAAGTTACTTAAAAATTCTAATACTGACTCACTATTTTTTAACACTAGCTAATTGTACATTTTCCAACATTGTATTCCGTAACTGAATCATGTGTATTTTCACTTTTATTCTTCAAATGTTCAATAATATTTAATTAATTGATTTTTCTTTTAACACTATTTTCAATAGTGGTGTACATGAAAGACGAGGCACACTAAAATTTGGTGACCATTCGAGGAAGTAATTTTTATCCATTTCGAAGGATAAAATGCTCCAAAGTATAAAAGTTACTCAAGATATAGTTTAAGTGTGCACTTGTATAATTGAGCTGTATTCAGATAATCGACGTTCCACCGTGCATTTCTTTGGAATTTTCTAATACAAAGGATTTTATACTAGAGACAGATTAAATTCAATTATGTAGAAATATGTATATATATATATATATATATATGGTTATATAATTTAATCTTCTAATCAAATTACGTTCAACGTACATGTGCCATTGTAGTATTTTTCAAAGTCAAAACTTTCCTACATTATGACATTTTTATGACTTTTATTCCAATGGTGTAACCATACGGTAGTTCTCTCTTTCTATCTGTATATTATTGCAAGTTGCAGATTGAAGGGGCAAATGGTTGAATACGTACATAAACATAATTATATTTATTTGCATGTTATACTCCCTTCCATTTATTAATGACACTTTGAAAATATTTCTCCTCGTTTATATATACATGTCCAAATAATCTCGGTTAGAATTTCTTATCGTTATAATGAATCTCTTTGATAATATATATCTTGCAATCTGAAATCTGTGTATTTTTCTTTGCATGTACATGTGTGTGTACGTGTGTATCCAATGTATGTACGTACGTATGTGTAAATATGTGAATATCTATAAGTGGGTACCACTTACAGTTAGAAATCAAGGAGTATCATCTTGTCTAAAATACTTTTCTTCCATCACTTTAGATTACAAATAACTTTTTTTTTTTATTTTTTAATCGCATCGTACGTTTACAGTAATTAAAAAATAAGTGATCTGCAAATGTTATGTATAATCGTTAATGTATACAATAGTAAACTGTGACAATACTTTGCAAATACTTGTTTTAAATCATTATCAAATTACTTTCGTATCGACGGAACGTGAAAATACATATGTTAGAAAAAATATATAGTGTAACTATATTATGTAACATCGTACGTTCGTTGTACACAATAAAAACGATATTATTTTTATGTGCCGCGCATTGATTTCTCTCGTTGGTTTATCTACTTGCCTGTTGATTTATCTTACGGTTTCAACAGCTTTCCTTTTCAATAGATTTCACAAATTTCATCATCATCATCATCATCATCATCACGATCATCATCGGAATCATCAAACGTAATACGAGTGTAAAAACAAATGGTAAAATGCAAAAGTTGCGATGCAAAGAAAGAAACGTGGGAATTACAGCGTCTCTTTCTCCGCATCACTCGACGAGAAATTACGTGTGTGCGCCATACTACTTACTACGGTAGAGACGCACGTAAAATAAAATCTTGCAACAATGCAACTACATCTATGTAACGAACAAAGGTGGAAGAGAATCATTGATCACTGATCGGAGAAACTATTAATTAGATCCGCAACAACGACTGAGATTGATTGTAATAACGTGAATTTGTAGTTTATCATTTGAAATTTCTTTTGGTCGAAACCAGCTTGTGTGTATATGTGTGTGTGTGTGTGTGTATGTGTATATATGTGTCGTTTCGTTTCGTTTATAGCTGCCACACATTTGATCGAATCCGTAAACATTTCATCAACGACGATTGCATTAAAGCTATCGTGCCTCTTGGCTGTGTATAACGAAAAAGTGCACACGCGTCGTCGGTCAGAGTACTCACGGTATCCGATACGCGTCACGT